ACACCATCCTTAATATACACAGTGTGTTTTTTTGTGTGCATATCATTGTTTTTGTTTTTTTAAGTCTTTAATGGTTTATATTGTTTTCTGAACATTTATTTAGCATTATTTAGGATTGTACTTTTCCTTTGATTATATTTGTAATATTTAAATATTAAATCTATTGCACACTTGTCTATGTATCACAGCCCAAAAGTAATGCAACCTGCAACAAAATACAGTTTGAACATGTGTCAAACATTTCTAAATCCGTCTAAAAGATACAAAATTGGTTAGAAGAACCAAGAATTAACAACAGACTAAGAATAAAGTGAATATTTGATGAATGTGTTGAGGGTTAGAACCATTTTTATCTCACTCCTCCTTTCACTGCGATATTATTTGTGTGCATATGAACCGCAGTTTCCATAATTGGAGTTTTCTCAGTTAACACGAACAAGGTGCTCTGCCACACTCACCTGGCGAACTCTGCCAGCTGTTTGGGGTCTGAGAGGTCGATGCCCGGGATACCACCAGGGGGCAGCTTCTTCCCCGTCATGTACTCCGAGTAGTCTGGAGGGGAGTTCTCCCCTACTATTTGCTCCTCCACCACCGACTCATGGTCAATGTCTTTAGTGTCATCTAGGAAAACATTACAGAGACTGAACCGATAACGCATTGCTGTTTCCCTAGCAACAAGCCTGAAGGATGGAAAACACATCTGCTGGTCCTGAACTCATACCAGGAAAATATCACCATGTTACATAATTACTTTGACAAATCATATAGGAAAATGACATGTTTCCATATATCATTTACCATACTGCTCACCAGTCTGCAGGTTTTTACTTAACAACTTGAAGGGTAAAAATAAAAATGTATAAAACACTCTTGCCAATCAAATAAAAATGCCACTACATTTTACATTTAAGGAAAGGGAAATAACCAAAAGGTCAATCAGAATTCTGGCTTGGATATGTGTTGTTCTATTATATACACAACCGTCATGTATAACAACAAGACATATCTTTAATAATGTTAAATAAATGTGTAGGTACATTATTTTATCCTACTTTAACAACCAGCAGAGTGCACTAAATAACTCTATACAACTGCTGTGTTCTCTCAAAACTAAATAGGCAAGCTTAATATCAGTGATAAAATGTTAAAATGTATTTCCACTTAACTGTAAAATAAAATGCATCGTAAATATCTGGACTATTAATAGTATTAGTCAGAGCCGTTGGTGGGCAAACACCTGAGCAGGGTTGCATTGCACGCAGTACCATAGCTCTGCACAGAGGCAGTAGTTAGCCCCATGCAAATGCTAAGCTGTCTGGTGAGCTACCACCAACAGCAACCCGAGCTAACAGCTAAACGATTTACTGCCTGAACAGTACCTGGCTCACAATTTTACACACATTAAACTTTTGCCCTTTTTACATAATCCTCAGGAGCTTCTGCAGCTGCATTAGAGCAGCACGTGTCCCAGTTTTGGCGGCCTACAGAGATCCTAAAAACGCAGCTGTCTATCTCCCCCTAGCACCGCCGCCATCTCTGCCTGGCCGCGACTATCGCCATTTTTTCGGGGCCGCCGCCATACTTACTAGTCTAGGGGAATATGGCGGCGCCCAGCAACACTTAAAACATGGCCTCCCTTCAAAACAAAAACATTTCAATATGACATAGCAGTGTTTTGCATCGAAAACTTGCATTATTTGTCGCTTTTTACGCTGGTGCGACGTACCACTCCAGGAATTAGTCTGGTGCAGCAGGACAACGCCCTGGCAATGAGGCCTCATGCAAAGCTAACAACAGTGACAGACACGGCTAACGTTTACTTACCCGATGCCCACATTGTAACAGAGAACTCCCCCTCTAGTGTCTTTATTTGCACCTGCTTTTGTTCCCATTTTCTTCCACCAGACTCCGACCCGCTTAAATAGCTCTTTTTGCCCGCTTTCTTGCCCCCATTGCCGCCTCCCCGTTTCATCCGACCCACTGAGCTTTTCCCGGCTACAGTCACCAGAGTCTGTTCGATGTACTCGTCCTCCACCCCGGGAGCAGGTACCGGGATGAGGATCTGATCCTCAAACCCGCTCCCGCCGTCCGTGTGCATGTCCGAGTCATCCCCACCGACCACCTCCTCCCGGGTCTGGACCAGGATCACCTCCTGATGGTGGTGATGGTGGTGGTGGTGATGGTGGATCGAGTTGTGGTCGTCCGAAACTAGCGGCTGGAGCGCGATCATGGGCTGCCCGTCGTCGTCGTCGTCGTCGTCTTCTTCGTCTTCTTCTTCGTCTTCTTCATCATCCTCGTCGTCCTCCCCGCCGACCACCGTGGTCTCGATAGTCTCCACCGGTATCGTTTCCACCTCTATCTCGTGGAGTTCCACGATCTCGGCCGGCATCTCCGAGCCGTCTGTCTCAATGTACAGAGTATCTCCGGATGCCATGTTGTAGTCCGCCAGCTTGCCTCTTTCATTCACGCCGTGTTGTGCTCCTTTTTTTGACCTCCTAAAAACACTCACACACCCCCTTGCTCTGCTCCTGCCTCGCTCTGTTCTCCCTCTTCTTCGATAACAACTCTCTCCACTCCGTCCCACGCCACTTCTCGTTACCACTATGCTCTCCAATTCGAAACCTCGCGAGGTTTGGGGAAACCCAGCGATAACTTGATGACAGTGCTGCCAAACTTTGTTTACAGGTTTCCTCATATTTGACACAAAAATACTTATATACATATCTTTCTGGATAAATATGAATTGAAATGTAAATTACTTACTCACAATTATATTTTAATATAATGGAGTGGACATAATTTGTGGTATTAAAAATAAATAAAGATATAACTAATAAACTACACGTCTGTTCAGTTGTTTTTATAAAATACCCCAAAAAGTTCATTCCAAGTGGCAATATCATTCAAATTATATATAAAAAATTGCTCATTCAACTTGAATGTGATTCAATTGGAAAGGAAGCTTTACACAAATCAATATGTTCATTAGCGTTACTATTGATCACTGTTGTTATTGTTATTAACGGTTAACTAAACCTTTTTTAAGATTTATTTTGATAGTCAAACACAAGTGGAAAACAGGATTGGAGTTCATTGAGATTTTATATTTGTATTATCCGTTCTGGGACCTCAACCATTCAGAATAGAGTTCAATGGTCATCCGATTATGGCAATTAGATCTACATTATGATGAGAAACAAACACCTGCTGTGACATCTTTTACCATGTTGTGGCCACACATGTTGGATAGAAAGCAAAGATCCAGTATTTAATGCCATCCTTACAATTTGAAAGATATTAATATTTGAGTAAAACTATAATGGATATCAAAAAGTATCTTCTATCTCAAATCTAAAAGTCATTTCTGGGGTTTATGTAGTTTAATGCAGTTTCTTTAAAGCATTTACTGACAGTGTAGCATAGAATGTTTTATTCAATCCTATTACATATTGTATGACCATGGAATGCTATGGAAATAATTACCTAGCCTGCTATTTAAAAATAGTTTCAGCAAATGCATGTATTCATACATGTATTCCTCAACGAGTTGTATCCAGGTTATAAAAGCAATACAGTGAGAAGATAGTCTAGTGCTTAAAGAGTATGCGGTTTTATTTAAATGATATGTTTACACCAACACATTTCACTCCTAAGGTTCAATCTATGAATTGGTCTTATAAATAGTTCAATTTTGTAACAAATAGTTTCATGAATTTATAAGTAAATAGACAAATATCCACATCAATACATAAACATACATGACATTAATTAATTATCTGGGTTTATCCTTTAAAACTATTTATAAAATGTTTTTGCAGGACACTATAACAGTGTCCTACTTTATTTATTTATATCCTAGTTGCAACACTTGAACAACACAATATGGTTGGGACAGTAACACCTCCAATTTCTCACACTGCTCTATTCTGCACCGGCTGTAATTTATGGCACCTTTTCATAAGCACGTTTCTGTGTTGGGGGAAATGTGAGAGACTAAATCACCAGACCAGCACAAAAATAGCACCCAAACAATTACAAAAGGAAAGAGACGACCTCATTTATCCAAGACATTGTTCACAGTTTTTATTTGAATTCATTTTAAACTTAGTGCGTTTCTTTTTTTTTTTGCGTTGTCAAACCAGGAAGCACTTTGTCATAAAAAGAGAGAATACAATGAACAATACTTCACCATATCCTTGCAGCCAATAAACATTTTATTAACAACATGATCACAAATACTCTGGTGTATTATTTCTTAATTTTTTTTTTGTTTATAAGATTACAATATCCAAAGAAGTTTTTTTCAGCCTCCATTTCAGGTTAAAGCCTGTTTTTTTCTGCCGTGGTTCCACACATAGCTGTGTTGGTGAAAAGGATAAAAAACTTTTTAAAATTCCGGGTTAGATCAATATAATTATTTTTAGATGTGGTTTGAACAAACACAAATAAACAAAATGAAAACAAATATAAAATACAAAAGGCTGACATAACATGATGTGCAATTATAATTATCAACATTATCATTACTATCAAATTCTCATGATCATTTCTTCATTATTACCATTGTACTCACTACTCTACTACTATTCATATTAACATTACATTGACAATCATAAAAATGATAGTAATAATAATGAAAATGATAGTAATAATATATATATTTTAAATTTGAATACAAACTTGTGAAAAAAATCAAACAAACAAAATCATATCAATTTGATCAATTTTCTTTGCAGCAGAGGACAGAGGGGGCGAACTGGGATGACAAACAGACCGAAACATTTGAGAAAATCTGAGGAATCAGTGCGCGAGTGTGCCCCATTTCGTCCAAATCAACAAACAAAATGTAACACAAACATGTGTGAGGTGTCGAACAGGATGAGAAGATGTCACAGTTTGGGCCTCCTTCTTCTCCTCCTTCTCAGGGCCACAGCAGCAGCTGCAGGGGCGAGGTTCAAAAAGGGGGTTTC